TGCGTCTCCAGAAAGGTGCTTTCAGCCCCCTGTCCTTGATGCCCGCTCCAGGGCTGTGCGGCCGTTAAACACGGCTGTGAGGGGCCGTCTCTGCCAGCCGTACGCGTGCGTCCCTGCCCAGGGCTGTTTGGGGCTGGAGCTTGCAGGAGGACAGAGAATCCCCGTCAAACGTTTGCTTGCTTGTTTGTTTTCAGGTCCATCAAGATGTTACAGGTACCGCTGCCCCTGGATCGAGATGGGATCCTCTTCCGGCTCCGTTTTACCACGCTGGCCGTTGGGACCGTGTTTTGCCCGCTCTTTGGTTTCCTTTTCTGTGTGATCTGGTCTCTGCTGTTCCATTTCCAGGAGACAACAGCGACCCACTGCGGGGTAAGTGACTCTCATCAGCAAAATGTCCTCCAAGGTCGTGGCTGCGCGGCTGGGGCAGCCGGTGGGGTGGCAGGGATCCTCTCTTCTTCTGGGCTTTCCCGCCGGATAGGATCCTGAACAAGCTGCTTTATTTTATTGTACTTGTGATGACTCGGGACTGGCAACTGAGGCTTCGGCTTTTTAAAAGGGACCTAGGGAAGTACAGACTGGAGGGGCTGATGTCTGTGCTGAGCACGTTGGTGGTGATTATGATAAGGAAATGAAGCTGGTGAAGCTACAGATAAAGGTACTGTCTTGTGGAAGTATAAAAGGAATTGCCGCCCCTCGGGTCTACTGGAGCTCTTCAGAGGAGTCACAAGCACGTGCCTGGGGAGCTCCGGTTGAGAGGGACCGCCTGGATTTCCAAAAGGGCTGAGATCGGGTTCCTCCCCAGGGCTTTCAAGCAGCCACGGCACAAGCGTGGATAAGCAGCTGGTTACAAGCTGGGAACAGAGGGCAGGAGTAGGTGGTCATTCTCACACCAGCAGGAGATGACCCCAGGGCTTTATGGGGTCTGTGTTATTCCTCGTGCCCGTACGCAGTGGGGTGACACAGGCTGACGGCGATGCCGAGATCCTGGAGCAGGGATGGCGAGGCAGGCTGCTGAGGGGGGTGACGGAGCAACGAAATGCCAGGGCAGTTTGATTTGGAGAAATAAGTAACATGCACGCCCAGTGTGTGGTTCTGTCCCCTCCTCACAGCTCGGGTGCACGGGGCAGGGTAGCAAGGACGCTCAGAGGTGTCACGCAGCTCCTGTTCCTGGGGTGGTGAAGCGAGGGCTCTTCAGCTGCGTGCAGGGAGAGACGATGGGCTGAGAGCAGGGAGGGGCGAGACAGAGACCTCTGAGGTCGCGGCTGGCCTGGAGAGGGCAGGCAGGGATCCACTGCACCCCTCTGCCGGTATGAGAAGTAGGGGACGTCTTACGGAGGTGGCGGGTTCTGCCTGAGGAACCAGCTCCTTCTAATGCCTTGAGAGCAGCCGATCTGCTGCTCAGTTTTGGGGCCGGTCTTGTTCAATATCTTTATCAATGATCTGGACGAGGGGATCGAGTGCACTCTCAGTCAGTTTGCAGATGACCCCAAGTTGGGCGGCAGTGTTGATCTGCTTGGGTCGACGGTTGGACTCGATGATCCTAGAGGTCTTTTCCAACCTTAATGATTCTGTGATTCTGTGATTCTATGATCTGGGGAACGCCTCTCCGCAGGACACTGGGGGCACACAGTTCTGCGTGGGCTCCAGGGGAGACTGAGCAGGATGATGGAAGAGTGGATTACCTGGGGCACAGCAATCGTGGCTCGGCTCGGGAATCCCCGAGCTGTGAAACTCTGGAGGTTGGGAGTTTATTCCGGGGCTGCATTGATGGCTTTCCTGCTTTTATGTTTCTCCCTGAACAGGCTTTGCCTGCTGTTGCTATCAGTTCTCTCCGTTAGGGTTGGGCTAACAGAGCCGTGCACCCTCCTCTCCTCTCTCCCCAAACTTGGGGTTAGAGAACGCGTGGGGGACCACGACTGAGTAAAGGGAAGGAATAAAGGTCAAAAGTATAAAGGTAAGAAACCCGAGCAGGGCACCCCAGCGCCCGGGGGCTGTCCCGGCAGGGCTGGGGGCAGCGTGCTTGGGGCAGCGTGGTCCTGGGGGACAGACCAGGGCTGCTGCCACGTTACGTTCCCTGGGAAAAAAAAAAACAAAACAGTTTTAGCATCTTGGAGAGCTATAAATACGACAATATGACACACTCCCTATGCCTCTCCCCGCGAGCCGCTGTCTCTCTTCCAGGTCCCTAACTACCTCCCCTCCATCAGCGCCGCCATCGGAGGCGAGACCCCCCAGCGTTACGTCTGGCGCCTCTGCATCGGCCTCCACTCGGCTCCCCGCTTCTTGGTGGCAGTCGCCTACTGGAACCACTACCAGAGCTGGCACTGCTCGCACCCTCGCTACCTGCGCTTGTGCCACTTCAACCTGCTGCTCAACCTGCTCGAAAACTTCGCCCTCCTTATTCTGACGTACGTGTCCTCATCTGAAAACTATGGTAGGTGTCTCCTCCCACGCTCTCCGCTGACCGTTGTGCCAGTGGTCTTGCTCGCGGCTGCCGAGGCTTTGCAGAGCTCTGCTTCACGCTGGTGTTTTGGAAGTAGTCAGTTCGGAGGGAAAAAACAGTAAAGAGGCTCTGTTAAAATTAGTGTTTATAGAGCAAAGTTATGTCCATAACGTGCAGATAGCCATGTTCTTCCCAAAATTCTTGGTTGCTGATAATGGGCCGAAAATGTAGGCTGAATTTTTGTGTCAAGCCCAGGATCAGACTTTAGCGCTTGGTTCCCACTTGTGTGCAAGGCCGTGCTTAACACATCTCACCGCAGCTGAGCCAAGGCAGGTTAGTGCTCGTCCCTGCTATCTGCTCTGTCTCCACTGCTGAGCTTTGGCTCCGAGCTGGCTTCCAGCCCACGCTCTCTTCCATCTGCGTTTTAAATACCCTCCTACAAAATTTTCTGGGTAAAATTTCCTGTGTTGACCCGAAAACAAAATCAGAATTTTTAAGGTTAAATCAGTGTGTGCAAAATATGGTCACGATAGGCTGGGAAATGCTCTTCTCCCACATGGTCTCGTCTGAAATGAATTTAAGTGCCAGTGGTGATAACCAGCTGCTGTTTAATCCTGAGATCTGGAGGAGGCACCGGGGATTGACTTGAGAGGACTCAAATCCACGAGCCAGCAAGGTGGTGCTGTTGCAGAGGAAACAAACCCGGTTCTGGGACTTGTCAGCGGGAGAGTCGCGTGTCGGCTGTCCCTGTGCGTCCTCTGAGGGTGATGATGACGGATATTGTGTCCGGCTGTGGGAGCACGCTGGAGAGTGTAGTCACAAAGAGAGAGGCCAGGCCAGAGCTCCGGGAAGAGAGGATTTGGAGCGGTGCTGGTGAGGGGAGGTTGGCAGAAGAGGGTTTGTCTCCTCGCAGCAAGGGAGGTGAGATGGGGGGCAGGGATGCAGCTGACTTTGTGCTGAGAGTATCTTCCTACTCGCAATGGGTGAGGAAAACAAGCTCTCGAAAGGCAGATGCGGTGGGGGTCAGGAAGCCTCGCGACTGCTTAGAGCGGCAAACTGGAAATGGGCTATGGCCACCGGAGCCCTCCAAGAAGGCTGGGAACGTGCCTGCGGGGTTGAGGGGTCCAGCCCCAGCGCAGAGGACCAGGTGGGTGATTTCTGAGGCTCCTCCCAGCCCGCTGCTGCCATCGGAGCGGGGTGTCGCGCTGGAAGCGCGGAGCGCTGCGGGCGCTGTCCTGATGCCCTGCCAGAGCGGGTATTTGGAGTCGTTGTGTCTTGCACATGGAAACGGCAGGCTGTCCGGGAAAAACAGCTAGCAAGTGCGTGAGCCCCAACAGCTGACAGCTCGCTGCGCACGCCGCTTATTTTCCCACTCACGGGTGCTTCTATCTTTTGCAGTGCGGTGGTTATTGCCTTTCTGCTCACCTGCTCATCGCTCAGGAGCCGTGCCCAGAGCAGTCCGTACCGGGGCCTGTCGCTGGCACACCGGCAGTAGGTCCGATGAAGCTTCCCACCATTCGGGTGCTCACTGGCTTCCGCTGGGTCTTCACCCAGTAAGCCTGGTGGCTTCAGGGCTGCGGTGTCATGAACAGAGTCCAAGGACCTCCCCAGCCTTTAGTGTGAGGATGTAGACCCTCCAAAATGTGCTGTCTCATCTGAACCCCCAGACCATGCCAGGGTTTAAACAGACCCTTCCCCAAGTCCTGTTTCGTGAGCGTTGTGGAACCATTTGCTCTTCAGGGGGGAGCATGGCGTGTGGTAACCCCGAGCTGCAGGGCTGGAGCACGTTTGGAAACCACAGGTCCGTGCGCTGCCGAGTTGAGTGAGCTGGGACGGCTGCACCTGAACCTCCAGCTGACGGAGGTCTGTGGTCTAGAGGGTGTTCCTGTTCAGCTCACCTTCCTTGTCTCCTGCCAGCACTCCCTGTCCCCCATGGCGAGGCATCCCGTCGCCACCCCCCCGCCTCTGCCGGCATCCCCGGCTGCCCGCACCGTGGCAGGGGACTGCAGACCACCTGCCAGCGGGGCTTCTCCCACCCGTCAGGACTGGGAGCACGCCCTTAGAAATTCAGATGCTCTTTTGGGGTTTGGATACCTCAAAGCGCGTTGTCACCCGAATGGCTCTGCCTGCGCCTCGTTTTGCGGCCGATGGCTCTGCCCGGCTTGTGCAGAGCTTTGCGAGGGGGAGACTGAGGCGCAGCAGAGCGGCTGGGCAAAAGCTGCTCTGAGAGCTGAGGCTAACCCAGTTTTCCCAGATCCTTATTACAGACTAATCTCAGGTTTGTGGGGAAAGTTTCAGACCTTAGCTGCCGTGTTGAGGTGAGAACAGGCTCAGGTTAATCATCTCTGCAGGGCACTGCTCACCTCTTCACCTCTAACAGCGGCCTTTAGCATCGCTCCTCGCGTGGTTTCCCTTCGCCTGGAATCGAGAGGGGAAGCAGGGAAGATCATTTCTTACGTTCAGGTGATTGGGAGTTCAGCCTGTGGTTCAGTTCCTGGAGAAGAGGCTGGGAAACTTTTAAATAGAAGCACTCATCCGAAAATTAACTCGCCTGCAGTTGCATGGGCTTTGTGTGTGGCTTGGGGTTTCGTGAGCTGCTCTGGCTTAGTGTTGCTCCAGCTGCATTTCCAGCCTGACCCTAAATCTGCGCTAGTTCAGTGACACACGAGATGGCCTCGGTGCTGGTGGAGAGGCTGATGACGACTGTTAATTGGCAGGAGGACAGAAGATGTCCCTTTCTGGATCTTGGACTGGCTCACCCCCCCTCTGTGCCTCAGTTTCCCCATCCCTAGAACAATAGTGGTGATGCTGAGCTGCTCTCAAGGGTGCCCGAGGTTTACAGCCGTGTGAAGCGATGGAGACTCTCAGACCAGGTGCCAGAGCACATAAACACCCTCCTGGCACCTTTGGAATGAGTATTCCAGCAACTCACATCCCCCTCCGGCCCCGGGCTTACGGGGGGGGCCACGAGGCACGCGCGAGCAGCTGCGTCATTAAATCCCCGTTCCCCTTCTCTGGGTGGGTGCAGGGGGTGCGGAGCCGTGCTGTGCCTGTCTCCTGCAAAGACCCTGGTCCCCGGACCGCTGCTCGCGCTGGGGGTGCAGCATCTCCTGGGTGCTGGGACCCCCAGCAGGACCGCATCCTGCAGAAAGCAGTCCTTCACCCTCCCAAAGCCTGCCCCGCGTTCCCCTTGTGGTCTTGGCTCAGATTTAACAGGAAACCTGTTGTCTTGTTGATTCAGCAATCCACGAAAATGCCTTCATCGTCTTTATCACGTCGGCTCTGGGCCACATGCTCCTGACGTGCATCCTCTGGAGAATGACTAAGAAACACACAGTAAGTCCCGAGGTACAGAAACTTTCCTTCTTATCTCTGTGCAGTGCTGGGTGCTGGGGAGGGGTCTCTCGGCTGGCGGTGGAGGGCTTTGGCTGTCGCTCGCTTGTGAAATAACCGTAACTGGGTGCTAAAGGAGTTAACACCACCAGGTGAAACTGGGAAACACCGTCACCAAAATTCATGGTTTACCAAAACAAAGTGGGGAGGAATCTTTTAATTTCCTATTTTCTGGTTTTCACTTAGAGCTGACATTTGAAAACCACCCCATCAGTGTCCCCATGGGTCGGGTTTGCTGACCCCTTCTCCTTGCCTGAGGATGCCTGTTTCTGAGCTGAAATTTGCTTCTCTCTGCTGGGGAACCGGGAGCCTGCCGGTGCTGCAAACTGGGAACAGCTGCCAGCAGCGGGCAGCAGGTGTTGTGTTATCCCTTTCCTCCAGGAATCGCCGCACTGAGGGGGCTGGCTGGGGGTCTTGTCCTCTGTGAGGGGGTCGGTGGGCTCAGGGACTCGCCGGACGTGCGGCGGGTCAGGCAGAGGATCCAGCCAGGGGCTTCTGGCTCCATCGGCTGGATGCAGCTTTGATGCTGTGCTGGTTTGTGGTGTGAGTGCCGGACCACGGGCACCGGCACAGCCGCAGGCGGGCAGGGCAGGGCATTCAGCTTTGAAACTCCATGTGTGAAAGCTGCTTCTGCCCACGTGTGCCTCTTAAAATCATAGAATAGTTTGGGTTGGAAGGGACCTCTAAAGGTCATCTAGTCCAACCCCTCTGCTGTGGGCAGGGACATCTTCAACTCGATCAGGTTGCTCAGAGCCCCGTCCAGCCTGACCTGGAATGTGTCCAGGGAT